AAAAAAAAAAAAAAAAAGAAAATGTCTATCAAATAATACAACTGTGTTTATAATGATACCTGTTAACACCAAGATATGATTATGATTGGTTCATCTTGAGAACTGGTTGCATTCATGAGAAGACATAGGAATATGAACATAACTGCTTGTTTAGATAAATCTCATTGGCCTTGAAAAATATACCTTAAAGTCCTCTGGTTTACAAGTAATCTTAAACTTCGTTGGCTATGAAAATTTGATATAAAAAAATAGAGATTATATCTCAAAAGATTTTTCCAGCCCCTTGTCATATTGTTTATTTAAGCTACTTATGGAGGGCTACAAATTGTTTTGTTTTGCTTTGTTTTAATGAAGACTACATACTAAAAATGCTGGTTTAAGTAATACAAGTTGATATCGATATTATACGTTATTTCAAGTGGATATAATCAAATGGTATTTATTGATTGGCAAAGTTTCTTTTTTGTGTATATTGAAATATTCCATTTTTGCAGTGACTTCAATTAACTGATGTTTATTTGGAGGTCATAAATACTAATGGTCAAGTAATTATTTGTTATTGTTGTTTTCTTGCTCAAGATAAAATCATTCTGTTTTTCACCTGCTGAGTACTTTCCTTTGGCAATCTCGAACCTGTGTACCAGGCTGGCATTTTGTCTTGGACTTTTCTGATAAATTTTTGGTAAAGATAGTTGTGTGTGAGAGAGCACTTGTGTGTGTGTGTGTGTGTGTGTGTGTGTGTGTGTGTGTGGTGTGTTTGGGTTTCCACTTAAAGTTCAGTGCCAAAGCTACAGTACTTATACATTTTCTAAATGTGTTTTAAGCAATAAGTTGTACAACATTTTTAGAACATGTGTTAAGCTATTTCTCTAAGAATGAAGCTCTTAACAAAACATAAGCACTCTGCATGAGATCTTAGCAGCAAAGTGCTTAAAAGATAAAGTAAGAATTGGTACCATGGGAAGAACACCAGCTGTAGAGCGCACAGGTCCATTATGAGAAGTATGGTAGTGGGTAGGGAGAAAATGATTTAATCAGGAGTAAAACCAATTTTATTATAAGGGCACGCAGGGGGTGTGGCACCATAGTGAGAGGGACATTTCAAAATATCTGACAGATTTCAACAATGTGAAAACCCCGTTCTTTAAAGTGACAGTAAACCCCATCAGGTCTCCCTTTTTGATGCTATTGTTAACAGTTGACTGTTTAAAGCTGGCCTGCTAAGATGCTGTCGGCCTATTTCAATAGTATGTAGCCAAATAAAAGACTAATTGTTGAAATACAATCAATCAAAAATGATTGCAGGGCAGAAAGAAGGTCTCCTCTGCTGATTTTGTTGTGGATCATATTATTGTGTTATGATTGAGGTAAGCATGAAGACTGAAAGAGAAGAAGAAAATAGCCCATCTGAAATAAACAGATCCACCTTCTCTCCTTCTCTTTGCAAACATCCTATTGAACAGGAACGCCACTTACCAGCCCTGGAAATAATAGTCCATTTAGAAAAAGAGATCTGATAAAGATTACAGCTAAGATTTTAAAAGGACGTGAACACTATTGGCGAAACAACCCATGCCGAGATTCCCTATGGTGACAATTCTCAGCTTTTCTCACATTTTTGGTGCAAATTCTCCTCTGCTTCATAAAACTGACACAGAGGGGGCATGTGAACCTGAGCCCAAGACATTGGTAAAGAAACAAAAATCCAGTTGACCAAATGCCTGTTAAGTTCTGGCCAGGAGACTAGGCTGCTCAGTTAACCTCAGGCTGTTAAAAATGATTAGCTTTAGTTTTTGTTCCACCTAGAATTCAAAAGCGCTGTGATGTTGCATGTTTACAAAGACAAATACTACCGATCAGCAGCAATGCTTGCGTGCCTTGCTTCCTTTCAGTTGTATGTAAAGATGTTGCTTTCAGATCCTGCTACCTTCACTTCTTGGGTGAGAGTGATTCCAGACTTTCATTCTGAGGGCGAACAAGAAGAAAATAGTTGTCCAGCGTCTCTTTATTTCTTCTAAAAACTTCATTTTGTCAGTTACATCCTTTAATATTTAAATCTCTCAACTCACTCCAGCTTCCCAAGCAAACATTTCTGTTGTTTGTAGGCGGAGTGGGTAAGCACTTGTGGTTTGTCTTTAGTGCGTTATCATTTTTGACAGCTTTGCATAGCCTCCGTAGGCCAACAGGGGTCTGTCTAATATTGTTGCTGGGCACATTTTCCTCGCTGAGATGAAAACTAAAAAAAAAAAAAAAAAAAAAAAAAAAAAAAAAAAAAAAAGATATTTTTGAAGCAGTAAGAAGGAATTAATATCCTTTCTCACTCAGTATTCTATTCCTTGCTGACTTTATATTCAGCAAAAAAGGGAAAAAAGTGTTACCCATTATTCCCTTGTACATAGCAAGGCTAACACATGTAAAGCAATAACTCATTTTCTATTGCCGTGTTTAGCATATGTCTCCTGTTGGCTCAGCAAGGCCTTTAGGCCGGTCCCTTGAGCCGGCCATCATTGGCAACTCTTAGCCCCTCGGCCTCAAAACCAAATAGCTTTGAATCATGTTGAGCTGTGATGCTAATTTTCATACTGATGCATTATGGGAATAAATGTATCTGACATACTGTGTCAATGGCAGTGTCTCTTTGTGTCTCTTGTTTTTTTGTTAGCTGCATTCCTACAGATGGTATTCCATTGAAAATGTTCCCTTCGTACGGAAAAAGGGAAAAAAAAACCACGCACAGCACCAAACCTCTAGGTGCAGAAGGCTGTTAACGGTTGCTGATGATAGTAGGCAAACATTAACATAATAATTAGTGTCTTGTAATTGTTTCATTAAAACCAGTTGTTCCATTTCTCCTCGTGTTTTCCCAGAAGAGAAGCTGAATTTGGACGACAGCCAGTGGGAGGACATCCACGTTGTCACCGGAGCACTGAAGATGTTTTTCCGGGAGCTGCCTGAGCCGCTCTTCCCTTACAGCTTCTTTGAGCGGTTTGTGGAAGCGATCAGTAAGTAACCTCACAGACAGGAGCGCTTGGTGGAGTAAACTGGCAGCATGGAATTATTAAGTAAACAAGTAAGAATGACAATGATAGCAATCATGGAGATGGTAATATCCCTAGTGCTCCACATGGTTCATTTTGGTTTTGTGTTTTTGATGCCTGGCCCTGCAATATTCTCTGAGGTGTTTTCGTTTGAGTTCTGGTTTTGCTTTGTTGTTAGTGAATAGGGCAACCTATTTAGAGTGGCCAGTTTTCAACTAAACAACCTCAAATGAAAATAGCTTCTCACGGAATCTGTTTTAGAGGGATCACCTTTGGCATTCCCAGTCCCTGCCTTGAGAGTTTCAGAATTGGCAATGAGTTTGCATACAAAAGCGTCTTGAAAAAGAATTTAAGTGGCTCTCATTACATTTCGTTGAAGAGGTGTTAGTTAAATCATCAACTGAGGTATCACCTTCTCAAGGCTCCCTCATCTTTCACCCAGCAATACTAGTAAATACTCAGCTACAATTTGCTTATGAGCAGTGTAAGAAGATTCAGTTAAGTAATGGCAGGTTTCTGCTGTTAAACTGGTGACTTTGTAGGAGGTTGAATTATGTCACATACGAACCAATAGTCATTGTACACTCCTCAAAGCTTCCTTTTCTATTGTTTTTGCATTTGTAACACACACACTTAAGTATAAGAGAGTGAATGAATGAATGAATCAATGAATCAATGAAAATCTTTCCAAATGCAAGGAAACTTTTGCTATTGATGCTTGGAGAAGCAACTACCGGTACATCTAATTTAATATCTTAGGGTACACTTACTATAATTGTGACAGCTTGGAAAAAGTTTCCTGTCTAGCAAGCTGATTCAAGGAGGAAAAAGAAAGTAAGAAGAAAGAAAGGTAAAATTAAAAAGTTTGCAAGCCTGGCAGGAGCTTAATTAAAGTCCAAGAGAAAAATCTCCAAGAAAAAAAAATGTTCTGCTTAGGAGGTCAGATATTGGATGATTGTGTGTACAGTATTTCCATTAGTGGGAGTGGGGAATTGGGGGCCCCTTGTTGGAGAACAGCCCCTCAAAATGCCCTTTTATTCTGTTTCCCTCTCCACAAGTCTTCATACTTGTTTAAAGCTCCAGAACGATGATATCAAGAGGAATGCAACAGAATTTATTTTCCCAAGATCTTTCTCTTGCTGTCTGCTCACAATTTTGTTGTTGTGATTGTTGCTGTTGTTGAATACAGTAGCAGTGCCTTAACTATGGGTTTTGAGGGGAGGCTGCAGCTCTTATCCCTTGTCATGGTTCTTTCTGCTTCTCAAGAAGAACAATATTTTATGGTTCCCAGGTTCAACTTCTTTTTAAAAGGAGGAATAAGGAAAATAACTAAATAAGCATGCATTTCCATAACAGCTTATTCTGGTATACTGGCTTGGAACATGGCGAGCATGAAAGATTAGTATTAACACAATATTAGCACAGTGTTCTTATAGGAAATTGGGGAACTTGCATTGGGGTACCTCTTTCTGATTATGTATATTTAAAGAAGTCATACAAATTTCATGTCATGGTCTCCAGACTTTTAGGTGAGGGTTATGTTATTTGTAAGCATACCTGCACCTATGCTGATATGAGGGTTGTGATATAGATACCCATCATTTAAGCTTCCTTTAGTCCACCTGATTCTAAAGATACAAGGCAAGCCATTCTCCTACCCAAGAGATAGGGGAAGCAGGCCCTTAGAACCCATGTGACGGCATGTCTTTTGGATTTACACAAAGAATAAGACCATCTCTGCACTATCCTGGACTCAACGCCCACTCAACAGAATTTCAGAAACACTGGCATAGTCAGAATGGAACAAGGCAGAGTTGAAGTGGTATCATGCTGTTGTGACTGATGGCTATTGCAAGGATTTTTGCCAACACCTGTAAAATGGATTATGCCAAGAACCAACGAGATGGTGCTTAAGAAAGTCCTTAAAAAATGTAAGGTCCTAGACAAATGCTAACAGTGTTTCTTCAGTCGAACTTTGTCTGAGAATGCAATATGGAAACAAGGAAGTAGTTTTGCTTTCACTTGATCTTACAACGGAGGTAGTTTTTCTATCATTGTTTAAGGCAAGAAGAATCAACCTCAGCAACCTTGTTTTGCCTAACACAAAATAGTACTTATTATTTCTTTTTTTTCTTTTTTTTTAATTTTTTTTTAACGTTTTATTTATTTTTGAGACAAAGAGAGACAGAGCATGAACGGGGGAGGGGCAAAGAGAGGGGGAGACACAGAATGGAGGCAGGCTCCAGGCTCTGAGCCATCAGCCCAGAGCCCGACGTGGGGCTCGAACTCACTGACAGCGAGATCGCGACCTGAGCCGAAGTCGGACGCTCAACCGACTGAGCCACCCAGGCGCCCCAGTACTTATTATTTCTTACTGCGTAAAATGGAAGGACTAACCAACCGGATAGCACAGTGGAGAAATATGTAACAATGCTGGAAGAAACATGCTTACTAAGCTATGTGTTTTTGTCAGAATCTTGCAGTCAGTTTTGGTGTTATAAACTCAACTAAACTCCTTGGTAGTTCATATTTAAATATCCTTAAGCAATGGGAGAATGGCCACATACTTTTTGACAGTGGTAAAACTACACTAGAGTAGGTATTTTTACCCCACTGCATGCCAGTTGAGTTTAAAAAAAAAATCTTTCAAAACTATAAAGACTCATATCCAGTCCCAGAGAGGTGATGGGTTTTATCATAGGTCTCACTGCCTCCCGTAAAATCTATACAGTGAGAAGCTCAGGAGACCTGCCTCCGAGTTCTTGGTCTTTTCATGAAAAGAAACCAACCAGATAAAGGAAATTCATGGGAAAGATGTCCGTAGATGCTGGCTCTGGGGCTCTTGGCCATCAGATCTTTGCCCCTCCCTTTGTGCTCTATAATGTACGAGGGTTGACCCCAGCCAGCTACATTGCCCAGGTGCTCTTGAGGGCTGGCCTCCTACTGCTGTAGCCAGTGTAAGCCCTGGCATTAGGTAGCAGAGGGGCAGGGAAGGAAAAGGCCAGCTAGTGTGTCAGGTTATCCTCCACCCCTTCTCCCTTGCCCACCCACCTGTCTCAGATAGTTCTTTACCTGAAGGTCCATCTTTTCCGTGGCTTCAGCTTTGACTGGAGAGGCCCACTCTGGTTCCAGCTTCCATCTTGCGGTGGGAACCCTCCTGTCTTTTTCCTATCCAGCCTGGTAGTAGCTTCCTGCAGCAGCTAGTTTCCTGGTTACTTTTCTTTCCTTGTTTGGCTCTCAACTTCCTCATCATATGGGTAACCAGTTCCCTGCATCGAACTAATTCCCTCTGTTTGTGTAAATACTTGAAGTGGTTCCTACTCTTTGGTTAGACACTAGCAAAACACCATGCCAGTCAATGTTACGGTTCATGTACCTATAACATTATTTCCCTTTTCTTTTTCACTAACCCCAATGCTAGTTTGTGAAGGCTTAACATTTTTATTTGGAAGAAATTGGGAGATCTGTTTTCCTTTCATGACAGAGTTAAAAAGTGAATAGACCAAAAGAATTCCACTTTCAACTGGAATGCTTCGCCCTCTGAGGAGGAAATGTTATTTCATGTACGGGCAATTAATGACCACTTGTGCTATTTGAATTACTGTTAATTCTCATTATGTGTTTGAAAGTCACCATTACATATTCTGAGAAAAAAGAACAGAAGGCATTTACTTTTTTAAATAGTTTCTTTTTGGGCCAGACACAAACATTAATATGATAAGAACCTGTAATTGCCATAGTGATCCCCTGTCTGATAACACTCATTGAGGTAACAAAAACACCAGAGATTGTTTGATATTTCAGAATCCAAGTACTGCAGTCATTGATCTGAAATTCTATATTTGAGGTCAGTGCAACTGGGTCACCTGCAGGTTATTTCGTGGGGATTTAACCCACTGACTGCAAGGACTTAATTCCCTGGAAGTGACTTGTGCTGAAAGCGGTATTAGTACTGTGAAAGTGAACTCAAGACAAAAAAACAGCTATTGAGTTTTATGATCGGTGATGCAATCTCGTAGCTAAAGTCCTACGGGGGTCTGGACATCTCTAGTACATCTAAATCCTAGGAAATGTCCTAAGCTTACCTCTATTTCTATCTTTTTCATCCTGATAACTCCACACAACCAAAGAATAGAAACAAATAGTTGTTTCTTCAACGTTTATTCATTTTTGGGACAGAGAGAGACAGAGCATGAACGGGGGAGGGGCAGAGAGACAGGGAGACACAGAATCGGAAACAGGCTCCAGGCTCTGAGCCATCAGCCCAGAGCCTGATGCGGGGCTCGAACCCACGGACCGCGAGATCGTGACCTGGCTGAAGTCGGACGCTTAACCGACTGCGCCACCCAGGCGCCCCACAAATAGTTGTTTCTGATTTAATGTCTGCATTTTTCCAAAGTCCCTGGGATAGGGAAAGAGAAGAGAAAAACTTGTTGGCATTTTTTACAGTTATCTCATTTAATCCTCAAAATAACAAAGCAGGAGATATTGGAGAAGTAGAAAGATCATGTGGAAAATAATTTCTAGTTCCTAAAGTTACTGTGAGAATTAACTAGGATAACATTTTCCTTACTCTGTATTAGGTACTCAGTAAGTGATTTCAAAGAAATAAGTTTTTCAGAAGAGTAAAGCAAGTCATAAAATATTTTTCCAGTTCACATGGCTCAAAAGATTAGATTTAGCATTCAACTCCAGACTCTAAAACATAAATACTTTCCACCATCATACATTGCCTTTGGGGGACTATTTAGAAGAAATCTTACTCGAAGGATAACTAGCCGTTGCCAAAAATCTGTCTATTACATCTTCCTATATAAGACCTATATATTCTACGTAAGACCACAACCAATTTTTTCTTTCTTTTTTAAAACCAAAGTTAGAATTAAGTTTAATGATCAGAAATTTTGATAGTGGAGTTTTAGGTTAGAAGTAAGGTAGAACTTTCCAAGGATGAGCAATGTTTC